GCTACGTGGCCTTCACAGACACAGAGCGGCTGGTTGGCGACGCCACCAAGAGCCAGGCTGCCCTGAACCCACACAACACGGTGTCCGACGCCAAGAGGCTGCTCGGGCACAAGTTCGCGGACGCAACTGGGCAGTCGGACATGAAGTATTGGCCCTTCCAGGTGGTGAGCAAGGGTGGCAAGCCCAAGGTGCGCCTGTCCTACCGCGGGGGGGACAAAGCGTTCTACCCCGAGGAGATCTCCTCTGTAACACTCAGCAAGATGAAGGAAACAGCTGAGGCATACCTGGGCCAGCCAGTGAGGCGCGCTGTGATCACGATGACCACCTTCTGCAACGACTCGCAGCGCCAGGCCACCAAGGACGTGGGTGCCATCGCGGGGCTCAACGTGCTGAGGATTATCAATGAGCCCACTGCGGCCTCTATCACCTATGGGCTGGACCGGCAGGGCTCCGGAGAGCGCAACGTGCTCATTTTTGACCTGAGCGGGGGCACCTTCGACGTGTCAGTCCTCAACATCAATGCCGGTGTCTTTGAGGTGAAGGCCACCGCTGGATTCACCCACCTAGGTGGAGAGGACTTCGACAAGCGGCTGGTGAACCACTTCATGGAGGAGTTCCAGTGGGAGCACGGCAGGGATGTGAACGGGAATAAGCGGGCCCTGCGAAGGCTGCGCACGGGCTGTGAGTGCACCAAACGCACCCTGTCCTCCAGCACCCAGGAGATAGACTCCCTGTTTGAAGGCGTAGACTTCTACACGTCCATCACTCGTGCCTGCTTTGAGGAGCTATGCCAGACCTCTTCCGCAGCACGCTGGAGCCTGTGGAGAAGGCCTTGCGGGATGCCAAGCTGGACAAGGCACAGATCCACGATGTCCTCCTGGTGGGCGACTCCACCCGCATCCCAAAGGTGCAAAGCTGCTGCAGAACTTCTTCAAGGGCAGGGAGCTAAACAAGAGCATCAACCCCGATGAGGCCGTGGCCTATGTGGCTGCGGTGCAGGCGGCAGTGTTGCTGGGGGACAAGGGTGAGAAAGTGCAGGATCTCCTGCTGCTGGATGTGGCTCCCCTGTCCCTAGGGCCGGAGACAGCAGGTGGGGTGATGACCACGCTGATCCAGAGGAACGCCACCATCCCCACAAGGCAGACCCAGACCTTCACCACCTACTCCGACAACCAGCCTGGGGTCCTGATCCAGGTGTATGAGGGTGAGAGGGCCATGACCAGGGACAACAACCTGCTGGGGTGCTTTGAACTCAGTGGCATTACCCCAGCCTCACGTGGACTCCCCCAGATAGAAGTGACCTTTGACATTGAGGTCAATGTCATCCTGAATGTGACAGCCACTGACAGGAGCACAGGCAAAGCTAACAAGATCACCATCACCNGGGATATTTGATATTTTGGTTGTAATCTCTTCTCTTTGCTTTCCTCTTTTACTAACACTGCCATTTTCTGATTTTTGATCAGGATTTCTATTTCTGCAGCTAGCCTTGACTTGCTTCTCTTACCAGGTCTCTAGAGGTCAGGACCTTCAGAGGGAGCTGTCAAGTACTGCAGAGAACACTGGAAAGGAAATGATAATTCAAATCCCAGCTCTGCCATTCACTAGGTATATGGCCTTTAACAATGTACTCAGTCCCTCTGGGCCTCAATTTTTCATCTATATTATGTAAATAAAGAAATTTAGTTATGGTTGTTAAGTGGGAGCACACATCAAAATCACCTGTGGAACTCTATTAAACATTCACAAGCCAGGATTCATCCACACAGATTCTGATTCAGTAGGTCTGAGAGGATGAGGACAGCACAATAAATATCTGTATTTCTAAAATTATCCATAAGTTGTTTTCACAGTTTGAAGTTTTAGAACTTACAGAGCTATCAATCATTTATTCAACAAGAATTTATTAAACAAGTATGGTGTGTTTTTTTCTTATTCTATGCTACTTATTATTCTGGAGGAAATACATTGGATGTTTCAACATTAACTTAGTGATCAATTTTAATTATTCCATTAATCATCAGTTTTAATGGTCAATTTAATTATTAACAGATGAGTTCTAATTCCTTTGGTTTCTGCTTGTAGCTAATCGAGTCCTAGGGAGTTCAAGGAAGTAATATGTAAAATATTCTCTGCATTTCAAACAATTGATCTCCACTGTGAACACTAAGCAGCTCCCAGGAATTGACTGAAGCTAGAGAGGAGACAGTTCTGTGGCTGACACTACTGAGGTCACTTTAGACGGGTCTAGATTTATACGTAATTATGAAGCAGGACAAGCTCATCATCTCCAGTGTTCTTTAGTCCCTTCGACATCCTCATCCTGGGATTCCACACAGAAATATGTAGTATCCTCGGATGCTTTTTTTGGTGCTCTGTGAAATTCTCCTCATCTTATACCTGCATAGGTTTAATGTGTTATGATGCTAATACATCAATTGGTCCCCAGGTAGTATTGCTGCTACCTTTCCACGTTCTCCTTTCTCTACCCCATACTGTCATGTATTGCCTAAATTTTAAAAGTGAATTTCAGGACATTAATTCTCTTCCTTTAAGACTTGATCCAAATGTTACCCCTTCTGTGAAGTCTTCACTGATTTCATGCAAACCAAGTTTCTACTGCCCTTAGGCTGTCTCTGCATTTTATATGTTGCACTAATTATCTGTTGACATAGATTTAGTGCTAGACTATATATCTCTCAATGGTAAAGGCATGGTCTTTTTTATATCTGTATCTGCAATACCAACCATAATCCCTGACATAGACAGCATTCAAAATATGCTTGCTTTATAAATGAATGAATGGATAATATCACTCATTCATTTTAAAAGCATCAGAAAGCTTTTAAAAACTGTCTTAGAACTTCAGGCACCTTTTAAAAAGGGATCTTTTAAAGTCCCCTCACAATTAAGGATTTTGGTAAAATTGTAATATACCTTTTCTGAAAGAAAATAATTGTGCCATAAAATGATTATTTTGTTTAGCAAAAGACATAGTATCCATTTACTTATGCATTTGTTTTTTCAGGCAGACTGTGTCTGCAATCCCATTCAAAAAAGGCACTGTTAGGGCCGGCCCCATGGCACACTTGGGGGAGTGCAGCGCTGGGAGCGCAGCGCGCCGTGGGTTCGGATCCTATATAGGAATGGCCGGTGCGCTCACTGGCTGAGCGCAGTGCAGGGGACACCAAGCCAAGGGGTGCGATCCCCTTACCGGTCACGAAAAAAGACAAAACAAAACAAACAGACAAACAAACAAAAAAGGCACTGTTACATGCAGAGATAAATGTGAAATGGACTCTTACCTTCAAGAAATTTACAGTCTAGTGGAAATGACAAAACACATACATAAATGATAGCAATACAATGTTATAAGTCAGATACAAAGAAAGGTCAACAAGAATTTGGAGAACGTGTTCAGGGAAGGAATTAGATAAAGAATGAACTTTGATTTGGACTTTGAAAAATTATAGTATCTGAATATGCAGAGAATTGGAAAGGGTATTCCAAGCACAGAAAAGACATACATAAAGTCAAGGATGTGAGCAAAACATGTATGAGATACGTAAATATTTCCATTGGTTGGGAGAGAAGTTTGAAAAGATGTATAGGATTTAGGCAGATTATATATATCTCTGAGTGTGTGCGACTGAGTTTGAACTCTATCCTCTTGAACTAGTGGGATTTCTCATCAGGGGAAATGACAATTGCCAGAAAGAGAAAGGCCTCTCACATAAGGCAAAACTACATTTAAATAGCTCCACGATTTATTATTATCCACATTATTAGCTGTGTCACCTGAGGTTATTTACTTAAACACTCTGAGACCAAGTTCATAATTTGCTTTGTTAATTACTGTAATGATTAGCAGAAGCAATCACTTTAAAGCACTGAATACTGTTCCTAGCTTGCAATATTCACCCAATAAAATCTTGTCACTGTATTATATTTTAGAAAGCTACACTTCACTGTTACTTAGTATAGAGGAGGAGAAACATGATACTCTTGATCTACTATGTTTATGTGAAGCATCTCCCTGCTCTGGGAAGAGCCAATGTGACAATTACTGTTAATCACATCTACAGCCATGCACACCACCACTCCAGTAAACACTCATTGCTGGGCGTGATTGATGATCTGTCATCTTTTTTAGAAACCTAAATAAATATAGGTAATCATCAGCCATTAGGCTGTTAAGCAAGTCTGTCAGCAAAAGAGAGATCCGATATGCAAATTGCATTTAGTGTTTCACAAAACACAATTAGAGAGTAAGCAGAAAGATTCTCCTCATATAAACTATTATGTTTTTAAGCATCTGAAATTAAGGAAATGCAAAATTCAAATAAGATCTTTTATGCTATTTGAATACACTGTGTCAAGAAGAAATTAAGTTGTACCTACTATCCAATTAACAAGCCATTTCTCATTGCCATGTAGTTTTCATCACACTTTAGAACATTTTACTGAGGATTTGTTATTTACAGAAAATGCTAATAAAAATAGGCACATTGGACTGTTATAGCATATGTTTTGGTACAACATTTAATTATAAATGTCTAGATTTTGGTTAATCTATAATATGATGTGCACAAATAGCACTATAATATCTACTATTTAATCATAGTGTGCTCAGTGGTATATATACTGAAAATTATTTATAGCATGGAAATAATTTACTTAGTGTATATATGAAGTTAAAGCCTTATTACCTGGTATCTAATATTTCACTGTTCTACTAGAATATAAATATTGAAATGACATTATTTCCTAATTTTTAACTAATTATAGAAATCTTAAACATTAGGAAGATATAAGAAAATCTGGGTGTCTTTAGACACTACATACATATATATACACACACTTTACAGTCATAGAATGTTAGGTTAAATATTCAGGATGTGTATTTAACATGTAAACTGCATACTTAAAAGAATTTTCAGGCAGACAAAGAAATAAACAGAAATAATATTCAAACTACGTGTTTATTTGTACTATTATATTTAGTTTCTCCTCTATAAAAGGGGGAAAAAGGCAAAATGGCATGGATTTGTATAGTCAAATAGCATGGAAGTGTGAAAACAGGCTTAGTGAAGTGACAGAGTAAGTTTCCATAGACTTCATTTAGAGGTGACCAATTTCTCAGAAACACACAGTGACCAGGGCATATGACACTCCTAAGTGTGAGCATGGTATATTGTAATCTAAAATATCACTGCAAGGAAAATAATAGTAATAGTATCAAAATTAGCGACTTTAACATCTCCTCTGTTTCAGTCTCTCAGTCTTCCTAGATGAACTGCTAGCTTGGCAGAAATCTCTAAATTCTGCTCATTCCATGCACATGAATACTAATACGTACCTTGAAATATGATCCCTAACATAAAATCATTCTGCTCCCCAGGACACATCTTTATTTTTCCCATTTTGCAAAGACTTATGAGAGAGAGTTTTCTGGCGTTTGTTGGCATCTGTGTTTTCCTAATTAACATTCTTGTGTATCCATGGAGGAGAATGGACATAGTCTTACAATCCACTTCCTTTATCTTTGAATAGTGTGTTTGTTCCAGTGTGGAGACTGTTAATTAGTTTAACCCTAGACTTCTTAAGTTTCTTTTCTTTTGTTAAATTCTCAAGTCACTAAGAAAAACACAAAGCAATGATTCTAATTAAGAACAAAGCATTATCTCATGTATTTCTTATAATTTAGCAATTAATCAGAAAATAGTATCATGATGGAGATAGGGGAATACAGAAGTGGAAGAAAGAGGTGACAAGTAAGTGTATTTCCTTCTTTTCTAAGGGATATATTAGAAAAAGTCTTTCATTATAGCCAGCTAATTCAAGTTTAAACCCCCAGCTTTACCATGTTTTGGCTCTGTGATCTTAAGCAAGTCAATTAAGATGATGGCAGAGGAGTATGGACATTATATACATTCATTTGGTCATTTGCTTCCTTCAGTATAACAGGCACTTTGTTTTATGTACTCATCTAATTTAATCTTTACAAAGATGGCCATTTTTACTATTTATCAAAGTAGTCATGATTATATCCTAGAAAGTTGAAACCCAGAGATATTAAACTAGCAACTTAATAACAGGTAAAGATAGTAACCACTGTACAATTTTAAGGAAGAAATAAGATAATAAGTGTGCTGACAACAATGTAGCATTGCAGACATGTAAGCTACTGCATTGCATAAGGACTCTAAATCAAGATTGATTGAGACAAGATGTCATGCAGTTAATAGGTCAAAAGAAGCTGGGGAAATTCCTATGGATAGGGTTGCCAGATTTATCAAATAAAAATATAGAATGCCACTTAAATTTGAGTTCAGAAAAATAATAACTTTTTAAGCATAAGTAGTTTCCATTCAATATTTGGGATAGGTTATACT